GGCTACAATTTTTATGAAATTTTAATGTTCGATGAGGAATTATAATCCCAAAAAGTAAGACAAAAGTTTCCATTATTTCAGTTTGTTCATTAACATGTTCATAAACGTAAAAACTATAAGAAATGTGAAAACTTGACTATGTAATTCATATTTGAATATGACTGTACCTCGATCTATATTGAGAAATTCAATATATTATAAGCTCATGAAAAGATGTACACATTTGACTTTTGACAAAAAAAAAAAAAAAAAAAAAAAGAAAATCCTGTTCACATGATATCTCGCTCTTAATTTTCACACAAATGCATGAATTAGAGGTAAAATAGCATGTCTTGTATCGATTAAAATGCAACCAAAAAATTTACGTTGTCTTAGAATAAACATTTCCATGCTAAATTTACATAAAAAAGATACTCACCTTCAATTAGCTATTTTCAACCTGTTTTCCCTTGGGTATTTATTTAATCTTATTTTGTTTTCTTCTTTATAATAACGTTACAATTCTATTATGGCAGAGATGTACAATTATGACTCGCTTATACTGTACTCTCTATACTGTTAGGAATGAAAGAAAAAGTGAGCAAGCTCACATACCCCACCCTCCCCCAAAACTCAAAGTGCTGAAAATCCCGGGAAAAAATAAAGCATTCGGAATTTCCCGGTAATATGCACATCTACAAATTGTGACCTAAATATCTGCAAAGTTTGACGAAATTCGGTGCAGCGCGGTTTATGAGGAGTTGCGCTGACAAAATGTTCATCTCTATATTCAAGGTATGGCCAAATATCTAAGTTGAAAAGTGTGGAAATTCTAAGAAAAAATAAAGGAATCGGAATTTCCTGGTAATATGCACATCTACACATTGTGTCCTAAATATCTGAAAAGTTTGACGAAATTCTGTGCAGTGGTTTATGAGGAGTTGCTCTGACAAACTGTTCATCTCTATGTAAAAGGTATGGCCCAAAACCTAAGTTTTGAGTGCAGAAATTCCCGGAAAAAATAAAGGATTCGGAATTTCCTGGTAATATGCACATCTACACATTGTGTCCTAAATATCTGCAAAGTTTAACGAAATTCTCTGCAGCGGTTTATGAGGAGTTGTGCTGACAAACTGTATAAAAGGTATGGCCAAAAACCTAAGTTATTAGTGCGGAAATTCCCAGGAAAAATAAAGGAATCGGAATTTCCTGGTAATATGCACATCTACATATTGTGTCCTAAATATCTGCAAAGTTTGACGAAATAATGTGCAGCGGTTTAAGAGGAGTTGTGCAGACAAACTGTATAAAAGGTATGGCCAAAAAACCTAAGTTTTTAGTGCGGAAATTCCTGGAAAAAATAAAGGAATCGGAATTTCCTGGTAATATGCACAACGACATATTGTGTCCTAAATATCTGCAAAGTTTGACGAAATTCTGTGCAGCGGTTTATGAGGAGTTGCGCTGACAAACTGTTCATCTCTATATTCAAGGTATGGCCAAATGCCTAAGTTAAAAAGTGCGGAAATTCCGGGGGAAAAAAATGGAATTGGAATTTCCTGGTAATATGCACATCTACACATTGTGTCCTAAATACCTGCAAAGTTTGACGAAATTCTGTGCAGCAGTTTATGAGGAGTTGCGCTGACAAAAAAAGAGGACTGACTGACTGACTGACACTCTGACGGACTGGTCAAAAACATTATACCTCACGCAACTAGTTGCGTGGGGTATAATAATTTATATTTCACGTGAAAGGGACGCCATACATTTTTCAGTAAAAAATACATAACACGATGTTAGTCGTTCAATTTCTTTAAAGTTTCACATTTTGTGAATAGTGCACAAATTAGAAAATTAAGTATATGGAATACTTTAATGGGAAATAAATACAAACGAAGTGTAGTTATTTATTTTTGGAAATTATATTGAAAAAAAATAATGCCATATTGTGTCCTCTTTCTTACCCCAGCAGTGTTTGTCGTGTGATTTTAAACTTATTTGACAACCATATAAATTAGGTTAACTAAAAATAAATCCACAAGATACTGATGTACAAGTAACAGTAACTGCTTTATTCTTTAGTTTTTATAGAAAGTTGCACGGAATACCCGAATTCGCGGATTCAACGATACCCTAATATCGGGTATTATACGCGATTTCACGGATAATACCCGATTTCGAGTATTCTCTCCGACCTGTTAAATAAACACTGAACTTTATCATGTTTATCTGTGTGCATTGAATAAATAAGTCTGATATTCTTATCCCTTAAACTTTTAAAATCGGAAATTTTAGGGTAAATTTTTTCAAATTGGGGCAATTTTTCTCTCCCGATTGGGAAGGCTGGATGAAAGGGTAAAATCGGGAGGATCCTGTCTAAATTGGGAAAGTTGGCATGTAAGTTGGCATCACTAGTCAGGTGCTCCTCCAACTGAGCTATCCAGGCCGATATCCACAGCCCAAACCATTACATTCCTCCCTCCTTTAATTGTTTCCACCCTTGATGACACAACCCAAGTTCCTATTTGCCACTGGCAGGACTTTCACCTGCAAGTCCAGGGATGGTCAACAGCACCAAATCTGTAACAGGAAAGGAGAAAATGTATGGCTGGACCGGGAATCAAACCAGGGACCTTTGTATCACTAGTCAGGTGCTCTTTCGATTGAGCTATCCAGGCCGATATCCACGGCCCAAACCATTACACATGCATATACTAAGAGAGACAACCCACTAAGAGAGACAACCCAAATTGTTCAACATGCTGTAAACATGTTTAAAAAATGACGCAGTTGTGAATACTCTTCTGCCCAAAGTCTGTATATCGATAGCCCAAGAATTTTGAGTTAATCTTTATAAAAAGTTGTTAGAACATAATTCTCACTTTTTTATGCTCCATGCAGTTAATTGTTGTTTACAGGTTTTATCTAAAAAATAAAAGTGGAGTGACCTTGACATACACAAAAACAACAAAATTGTAGATACAATGTACAACCTTTGTTTTTCTGTCACTTTTATTGTGTAGTCTTTTCTCACTGTACAGTGCAGTTGAATTGTCATACTTTCGCTATAATCATAATTTTCATAAATCTTTCGCTGTATGATACAGATATCTTGAAAGAAACACATGATTTTGACTCATTGTGTAACTTTAAATAGAGGGATTAAAATTATGTAAAATCACATTGTGTTGCCTGCAGAGTGTTTAAATGATTTCATATTAGGCTGGAAATGACTTTAAAGAGAATCATCCTTAATAAGAATAGTTGAAGACTGCGCAGTTTGTATTCAAATGACTGTTAGATGTGGTAAAGAAGCAAAATTATACTTTGATTGTATATTGTATCTGATTTATTGATTTATTGACAGAGATAAGGTTGAATAATTATTAATCAGATCTACTGATTCTTTTTGCCCCATATTCAAAGATTTGGGGTATATAGTATTTGTCATGTCTGTCTGTCTGTTTGTCCATTAACCTTGCCCATAACTTTTGATTTAGTGGAGCTATGACTTTTATATGACTTTTATGTGACTATACCTTTCTTTGGGTACCACCAAAATCAACCTTTTGACCTTGACCTTGGAGTTTGACACACTTTTACACAAAAATTTCAAACTTTTACTCTGGCCATAAAATTTGAAGAAACTAGGACTTTCATACTTCACATATACAATTCTTTTTGACAAGACCTTCCAAATTGGACACCACCAACTTTGACATTTTGACCTTGACCTTGGAGATTTTTGGTTTAAAAAAAACCTTTAACTTCAGACATAACTTTTAAACGGCAAGGGCTTTCAAACTTCAAATATGTAATCCTAGTGAAAAGACCTTTCATTTGATAACGAGAACATTGATTCTTTGACCTTGACCTTGGAGTTTGACTTACTTTTTAAAAACAATCCTTGACCAGAACTTTTGTAAGGATACATCTTCGCTAGCCAAGGGTTTCTGATACGCTACACTCCTCATGAACCCTTGGTATACAATGAAGTCAAAAGATGAGATTGTTTTCGTCACGTGATCTGGAATCAATCAGGTACGCACAGATTGCGTCATCGACAGAAATAAAGATGCATGTTTAAAAAAATTAAATCAAATTTTTTTTCAAGAATATTTAAGAAGAAATAATTGAGTTAAGTTTGTTTATTATTTATAGTACAAATCGGAAGCTTTAATATAGATTCTTAATCACATATTTAGAAGATATTGGATGACACCATATCTATTCATAGAATTGCATGTTATTCTTACGGATACTTGTTCACTTGCGTTTTTCATTTCTGAGATGAAAGAGTCAAGAAGTATCCTGAATGCAAATATCATCATTTACAAAAAACTGATTTGATGATTGATCAACCGATCGAGAAAAAAAAAACCCAACTTCTATGAACACTGTACGCCAAGAGTTCGTGAGGAGAGTAGCGTATCAGAAATCCTTGGCTAGCAAAGATGGTAAGGATAGGGCTTTCATACTTCACATATTTAATCCTTGAGAAAAGAATTTTTATTAGATACCAACAAATTTGACCCTTTTGATCTTGGAGTTTGACCTAATATTATAAAAAATCAACCTTGTTTGTCATATTTTCAGTCACTGTAGACAAGCAACAGTGCCTTTTTGCAGGCAAGGATTTCCTCTGATATTCTTAATAACAATTATTTAGTGAAAATGTCGATCTTTAGGAATAGCAAATGCTCTGCCGGCAAATTTTCCATGATATGCCTATTTTAGCTTCATGATCACTGAATAACAGTATTTATTTAATAGGTAAATTAAAAAAATCTTCCAACTTATATTGAATTTGATCACATGACCAACTTTGTATTTACATCCTGGTAAAAGTTTTAAAATGATACCCAATTTCTTATTTGCATTCAGAATGATTGTGTTGGCCTATCAAAATTTACAAAAAAGTTATTTTGTGGAATTTTGACCTTAATTTAAGGGTTCTTTTCTCATGAAGACAAACTGCATGTATGTCATAGTTTATCTAGAATTTATTCTCTTTTAAGGCAATGGATCCAATGGATTTCAATGGAGAGAACTTCTCATACAAAATATTTGTGAGAAAACTTCATGCAAAAGATGACAAAATCAGTTCATATATTGTGGCTGGGGAAAAGAATTCAAAGCTAATTAAAACTAATGACACTTACCAAAAGTATGGAGTAAAAGTAGCAGCATGGAACATAAAAGGCACACCCCTACCAGGGCCAGTAGAAATCTTTGGGTATTCAGGAATGGGTGGTAAGTTAATTGTGCATGGTGCTTTAAGGTAGGACACAATAGATGAGCCAAATTTTTCCTCAAATCCAATTTTCCTGAAACTTTGATATTTTGTTCTGGATACAAAATCTCTCATTATATATGATATGAAAGAAATTCAACCACACAGTTTTTCCCCACATAGTCTGAAATATAGCCTATCAGACCCCTGTAAGAAGATTGTGAAATCTGACATTCAACTTTAGAATGAGCCTTATTTTAGAATTGTCAATTGATCTATTGCAAATTTGTGTAATACTTTTAATAAAGATAACCTTTTTGTTACTTAAATCAGTAAGTCACATTGATACTGTAAAATTTGAGTAAAATATTAAGTAAAAATAGAACATACATAGCATCGGAATTGAAAATTCACATGTAAATTTTCGACAGTTTAAGTTTTCTTAAGAGGAAATGTATAATTCAATTTTTACAAAAACTCAACAGAATGATTTAAATGGGTCCTAGCCCTTACAGAAATTTCTGATAAGTGACTTATAAGTGATTTATTCTTTTACTTATAAGTTGTTTATTCTGGACTTACACTTCACTGATACATTTAACTTATAAGTGACTAGTAAATTACTCATTAGGATTTTATATGCAAATGAACTGCTTGACCTATAACTGGCTATAAGTGACTTATAAGCCAGTATTAGCCACTTATACTTTATGCAAGTATAGTCACTTATAAGTGACTATAAGTGACTTATAAGTCAAGCATTAACCCTTCATACTCTATGAAGTATTAGTCATCTATAAGTCACTTATAAGTGAAGTACAACACTACCTGTAAGATCTTAATTTAGAACAGAACTTCCAACCATGCAAGGGTTGCATGATATGTTCAAAGCTATTTTTTACATATACACATGTATTTGCACTTTAGATGAAATAATCAAGTAAAAATTTTATGAAAAAAATCCCTTTTATATGACATTCCTTTGATGATGCATACTTATTATTAATTCAGTTTACAAACAAGATGTTGAACAAAAAGGCAATAAGATTAATGACCTTGAGGCTTCTTCAAATTTATGAAATCTGAAAGCAACTGAGTCAATTGATTCAAAATTTCAGGCAAAGGAAATTAAAATAGAGAGATGATGTTAATAGAACCTCAAACTTGTTGTACCTGATGAGAAGGCATACTCAAAATAAATCTAAAATCTCCAACATCCTTTCACAGACACAAACTTGGTTTCAAATTCTTGTTGCTGATCTCTGCAGAGACAAACTTTCTGATTGGCTACCTTGAATACCCATAGTGCTCCTTGAGAGAAGTCTAGTGTAGGGTAAAAATTCAAAGTCCACACTTATACTTGCTCATACCATACTGATCTTCACTTATAAGTGAGGTATAAGTGAAATATTCACTGATATGTAGCTCATCTTTACTTATAAGTGAAGTATTAACGAAATCCGTTCCTCACTTATACTTACTTTGACTTATAGTACACTTATAAGTAAATTTCAAAACTTAAAAGTGACTTATAAATTGCTAATAAGTGGATTATAAAACACTTTTAAGTTTCTATTAGTTTTTTCTGTAAGGGAGAATAAAATGTGTAAAAATATAGAAAATTGAACCAGTGGTTTCAGATATTTTGATGATTAAAAAAAAATCAATGGCAAAAAAACTAAGATTCAGTAGATGACGCCACAATATTTGACCTTTGACCTCTTGATGTGACCTTGACATTTGTAGTACCTGTACATAAGGAATGGAGACTCCTTATATATGTGTCCAAATGTCAGCCCTCAACTATTTATGGAACAAAAGTTACACTGCATTTTATAACAGACTGTTACCCGGTACATGCTTGTACATTGCACTTTGATAGAGTATATAAACACATTCCAAAATGTAAGCCCCCAAGTGACCAATATATAGGATTCTCTGATTTTTTCACAAAATATGACACAAACATGTCAAAACTTATTATTAGCTCACCTGAGCCGAGGGCTCAAGTGAGCTTTTCTGATCAAAATTTGTCCGTTGTCTGTTGTCGTCATAAACTTTTCAAATTTTCATCTTCTCAAGAACCACTGGGCCAATTTCAATCAAACTTGCCACAAAGTATATTTGGGTGAAGGGGATTCAAGTTTGTTCAAATGAAGGGCCAAGCCCTCTTCCAAGGGGAGATAATTATGAATTTATGAAAAATTTATGGCAACTTTTAAAAATCTTCTCCAGAACCACTGGACCAAGAAAGATGAAACTCACGTGGAATCATCCTCAGGTAGTGTAGATTCAAATTTGTTCAAATCAAAACCCCTCAGGGTAGGGTGGGGTTACAATGGGGTATCAAAATTCAATATAGAAATACATATTAAAAATCTTTAAAGATCTTCTTCTCCAGAACCACTGGGCTAGGAAAGATGAATCTCATGTGGAATCATCTTTAAGTAATGAAGATTTAAATTTGTTCAAATCATGACCCCGGGGGGTAAGGTGGGGCCATAATGGGGTATCAAAGTTTAACATATGAATACTTGGTGAAAATCTTTAAAAATTAATCTTCTTCTCCAGAACCACTGGGCCAGGAAAATTGAAACTCATGTGGAATCATCCTCAGATAATGTAGATTCAAGTTTGTTCAAATCATGACCCCCGGGAGTAGGGTGGAGCCACAATGGGGTATAGAAGTTTAACATAAGAATACATGGGAAAAATCTTTTAAAATTTTCTTCTCCAGAACCACTGGGCCAGGAAAGATGAAACTCATGTAGAATCATCCTCAGGTAATGTAGATTCAAGTTTGTTCAAATCATGACCCCGAGAGGTAGGTTGGGGCCACAATGGGTGATCAAAGTTCAACATAAGAATAAATAGGAAAAATCTTTAAAACTATTCTCCTCAAGATTCACTGGGCCATGAAAGATTAAACTCATGCAGAAGCATCTTCTGAAAGGGAAGATTCAATTTTGTTCAAATCATGACCCCTTGGGCAAGGATGTGGCCACAATGGGTGATCAAGGTTTTACATTTGCTTTTACCTAGGCAATTGCTCAGGTGAGCGATGTGGCCCCTGGACCTCTTGTTTTTCTTACAGGGATCATTCATTGTTGTAAATATAGTAATATTAATCTTTTTTTCTCCAGTACTTTTTAAGAAATGTGTTGAAGTAGGATCCACCTTGTCCTACCTTAAGATCTTCGTCGAATCTTGTTTAAAATTAAATATGATCTCTCCTTATTAGTTTGCTCCTGGAAATGTTATATATTTTGAGGTAAACTTGTATTATACCATCATCTTCAACCTTCCTTAATGTAATTTATATCTCCATCCATGAGTCTACTCTGCTCTGTTTTTTGTTGCAAATATAAAAAACAAAATGTTTGTTTTAAATGGGCATTTATCAAAATGCCAAACAAATTAACCAAAAAGTACAAAAGTTATGCATGTCCATTGTTGAATATATACCTGACAAGGATATTAATATACATAAGGAAAAGGAAAAATACGAATCCATGTATGACTAGAAGAATTTGCCTAAAAGATGGGAGAACAGATACGCCCCAAACTTGTTGATAACTTACAAGTTATGGACAAGCGCCCCATCCAGAGGAGACAAATGGGAAACATCAACACCTCACAAATAGGACAAACAGACTAACATATGCCCAAACCATCAGATACAAAAATTTGCTGTAAATATCCTGTAAATTGACAATATCCATGAAGTTCTTGGAGATCAAGTTCTCCAACAATCTTTCAAAATTTTGATGGCTTCCAATTGTGTCTCGCTATTAGCAGACCCATTTTTGCATTTTAATGCTCTTCTGAGCCAAAGGCTCAAAGAGCTTAATGCTATGGCCATTTGTGCGGTGTGCGTAAACTTTTTAGAATATGGGCCATAACTCAAGAACCCCTTGGCCAATCAGTGCCAAATTTGTTACAGGGTATCCTTGGCCCAAGGGCTACCATTTATACTAAAATAAGGGTTGGGACCCTTAAACAAGGGGAGATAATCAGGAAAACAAAACCAAAAGTACTGGTTGCTAAAAAATCTTCTGCTCCATAACCAGCAGGCAAATTTTCATCAAACTTACATACAAGGATCAGGATATGTCGAAGATTAAAATTTGCATGGGGAATTACCCTGGGGCAAAGGGCGTGGTCTCAAGGTCACTTCAAAGTTGACCTGAATTTACAATAAAAACGTATATACATATATTATACTTACTATAAGGACTAGGATCATCAAATCTTGTAAGTTGATGCATCTTAGGTCTTCACATCATGTTGACTCAAAAGTAGGTCACGGTGACCTACTTTTTAAATTTTGCGGGCATTTGTTTTCAAATTGATTTGAAGGCATATTTTGGAAACTTTAAGGCCTGTGATCATCAAACTTTGCCAGTTGATGCATCTTGGGTCCTCAAACAACGTCAACTCAAAAGTAGGTCACCGTGTCCTACTTTTTGAACTTTATGACTTATCCTTTTAAAAACATTTAATCCCATTATTTCAGACACTGAGATGTTTAGAATCATCAAATCTTGTAAGTTGATGCATCTTGGGACCTTAAAACATATTTATGAAAAAGTAAGTCACTGTGACCTGTATTTTGAATTTTGCCTGCATTTGTTCTCAAATTGTTTAAAATGCATATTTTGATTACCTTCAGACCTACTATCATCAAACTTGGTCAGAAGATGCATCTTGGGTCTTAAAAAAATTGTCGACTTAAATGTAGGTCATGATGACCTACTTTCAACATTTTATGACTTTATTTAAGTATCTCCGGTACTTATTGGCTTAGAATTATCAAACTTGGTTAGTTGATGCATCTTGGGTTTTCAGAGAGTAATGACCAAAAAGTAGGTCATGGTGACCTACTTTTGACATTTTGTGCCTAAAATTAAGTATCTCTGGTACTTATTTACCTAGAATCATCAAACCTTGTCAGTTAATGCATCTAGGGTTTTCGGAGATTGTCGACCAAAAAGTAGGTCACAGTGACCTACTTTGACAT